CCCGCAGGATCACCAAGGCAATTTTCAGTCCCCAAAGTGGGTCAGAAACTAGACTGAAAGGGGGTAAAGGGTTCAATTTCATGGATGAATGGCTGGGAGTGCTTGGCTGCCCCCCACACCCAAAAGCAGTAACTGCAGCCATCCAGCAGTTGTTAGAGCTCTCTCAAGAGCCTCTCTGCATCCACCTCCTTCCACGTGGCCTGTGTTAATGAGTCACCTCCTAGATTTAATAAACCAAGCACTCCCCCACCCCCACCCCCGGCACAAAGCATGGATATCTAGCATCCCGTAAATGCACTGCAAAAACAGGAGATGTCACAGATCTCCGAGGTTGCAGGTGAAAGCCTGCTAGAGAAGATCTCCTCGCCCTGATGGATTCTCCTTCCACAGCACCCTCAACTGGAATGCTTGAGCACACATGTAACTCAACACGGATGTACATAAGATCCCAGAAACAGGTGCTGGAGACAAGCCTATTACAAAGTTACCTGAACAAGAGGACGTGGAAGTCTCTCGCCTGGGCAAGTTCAGATTGACAGTAGCTTGTGCCAATGTACTGCTGTGCAGTCTTACCTCGCAGTGCCAGCGTGATGCAAAGAAACCTACCAGAGTCCCATGCCTGCTGGGTCCCGCCTTCTCCTCCTGCAAAACTGCTTTGCTGCTTAACGCAGCGCTTGCGGCTCCATCACATTTTCAGTCCCCAAAGTGGGTCAGAAACTAGACTGAAAGGGGGTAAAGGGTTCAGTTTCATGGATGAATGGCTGGAGTGCTTGGCTGCCACGCACACCCAAAAGCAGTAACTGCAACCATCCAGCAGTTGTTAGAACTCTCTCAAGAGCCTCTCTGCATCCACCTCCTTCCACGTGGCCTGTGTTAATGAGTCATCTCCTAGATTTAATAAACCAAGCACTCCCCCACCCCCAGCCCCGCACAAAGCATGGATATCTAGCATCCCGTAAATGCACTGCAAAAACAGGAGATGTCACAGGAGATCTCCGAGGTTGCAGGTGAAAGTCTGATAGAGAAGATCTCCTCGCCCTGATGGATTCTCCTTCCACAGCACCCTCAACTGGAATGCTTAAGCACACATGTAACTCAACACGGATGTACATAAGATCCCAGAAACAGGTGCTGGAGACAAGCCTATTACAAAGTTACCTGAACAAGAGGACGTGAAAGTCTCTCGCCTGGGCAAGCTCAGATTGACAGCAGCTTGTGCCAATGTACTGCTGTGCAGTCTTACCTCGCAGTGCCAGCGTGATGCAAGGAAACCTACCAGAGTCCCATGCCTGCTGGGTTCCGCCTTCTCCTCCTGCAAAACTGCTTTGCTGCTTAATGCAGCGCTTGCGGCTCCATCACACTGCCACTTCGCCTGTCCGTCGCCTCGGGGAGGAGTCTTCCAACACACTCCTGGGGCTCCCCAACTTCCCGCAAACCGCAGGCTGGGAGACTTCGGCAGCTGTTCAAGAAAAGCTCCTGCCTCCTTTGTTGATTGGGAGAAAGCCAAGAAGCAGAGGCTGCTGGGAATAAGAGTTGTGAATTTGGAAGGGGCGGGGCCCAGTTTTAACCCTGTCAGTGGAGAAGAGCAGAGAGGCCAAACAACAGACTTTGGGTTGCCATTTCTGGAATGGGAAATTACTGGAGAGCAGTGTTCCCTCTAAGCTGAGTTAGTGTGAGCTAGCTCACAGTTTTTTAGCCTCCGGCTCACACAGTGTCGTCCTAGCTCAGGACGGATGGCTCCAGTGCATACTAATTTAGGCAGTAACCAAATTGCTCGCTCACAACCTTAATGCCAGTCGCTCACAAAGTAGAATTTTTGCTCACAAGACTCCACAGCTTAGAGGGAACATTGCTGGAGAGTTGGGAATACGGCGGGTTCATTCATTCATTCATTCATTCATTCATTCATTCATTCAATTTT